TGGCAATGTGATGGATGGGCAACTCCAGGGCTGCCTGCCTGAAGGTGCAAGGCAGAGGTGGCACTGGTGCAATGACCCTGTGCCATCTCTTTCATCTGGTCCCAGGAGGCTTATGACAATGTGACAGTGGACGTGGAGCTGTCGCGCCGGGAGGGCTGGCACTTCGGCACCAAGCTGGTCCGTGGCGCGTACATGGAGCAGGAGCGGGAGAGGGCCGCCCAGATCGGCTATGAGGATCCCATCAACCCCACCTATGAGAAGACCAACGAGATGTACCACAGGTAGGGGACTGCCCCAGACATGCTTCTCCCTCCTGCCCCACCAGGCACAGGCTCGAGCAGCCTCACCATGCAGCCCCCCACTGTCTTACAGGTGCCTGGACTATATCCTGGAGGAGATCAAGCACAGCCGGAAAGCCAACGTGATGGTGGCATCTCACAATGAGGACACAGTGAAGTTCACCCTTTGCAGGTGGGTGCTGGGGAGGCAGCATGGCAGGATCTGGGGGCTTGGGGGATGTGGGGACCCAGCAGAGCTGCAGGGAAGTGTGCTGTGGCTTGTCAGGTCTCCTCTGTGCTCACCCAGTGGGATCCTAGCTCCCATCTGGTACTTAGGGCTTCGGCTGGGGCTTGGAGCTGGGGCGCAGCATGGTAGCCCACAGCGACTGCAGAGCTGGCCCCTCTGTTTTAAAACAGATGCTGTTTTAAAAACAAATCCCTCAAGTCCTTGCATCCCAGCATCCATCTGGGACATGGTCAGTGCCGTGCTCTCATACTCAGAGATGATCCCTGCTCCTCTGGTGGGACACGCTGCCCCTGCATGCTCCATTGCCTAACACCAAGGCTTGGCTTGCAGGATGATGGAGCTTGGGATCCATCCCTCAGAGAAGAAGGTGTACTTCGGGCAGCTGCTGGGCATGTGTGACCAGATCACCTTCCCGCTGGGTGAGTGCAGGGAGAACTTGGCAGATGGGCTCCTGCCCCACCTGGACCTGGGGGGTCTCCCTGAGCAGCCGCTGTGGGGTCCGGAGGATGGATGGAGCCAGGCTATGGGTCTGTCAGAGAGCAGGACTGGCTGAGAACAGTGCCTTGTTGCTTCTTCCCCAGCTGTGTGGAGCGCTGTGACCCCTGCATGGGGTTTGGGGAAAATGCAGATGGAGAATCACATCTGTCTCCTGGAAGCCTCATGATACTGTGATGGCTGAGCCAGGAGATTCCTGGTTTGGACTATGAGCTGAGATCAGAGTAATTAGGTGGAGCAGAGACTGATCCTGGCAGCCAGCAAACCCCTCTTGTACCTTCTTGGTCTGGGAGTGTCGCTTTGCTCTGCTGGAGGTCCACATCAAGTCCTGGGCTCTCTGCTAGCAGGGTGGCAACAGCCTCTTGCGAGACCTTGTCCTCTCTGCTGCCGGCCCGGGCAGTGGAGCAGAGCTCCCAGGGGCCTGGACAGAGGGACATGCAAGGGGCCCGGTAGCCATCTCGGGTCAGGGACTGATCCCCCTGCCCGCACTGGTGTCCAGAGCAGAGACCTGAGGCCAGGAGAGCAGCAGGAGGCAGACCGAGCGGTGGTCCAGCATGGATGCCGCTCTGTCCTGGAGTTCCCCTTGCAAGCGGAGTTTGGCTGCCTGTCTGCAACCTCCTCTGGTCATGCTGGAAAAATGTGTTAACTTGATGTTTCTGGTTGAATGCTTCTTGAATTGGCCCAGCCCTGGCTGCTGACATTCCCAGGGCTC